CGCCCCCCCTCCCAGAAAGCCACCCAGTGGCAGTGGAGCATCCCCCCCAGCATCAGCCCCCTCTCCCCTCCGCGAGGGACCCATTACAAGGACCCCAGCTCCCCCTCCCAGAAAGCCACCCAGTGGCAGTGGAGCATCCCCCCCAGCATCAGCCCCCTCTCCCCTCCGCGAGGGACCCATTACAAGGACCCCAGCACCGCAGCTACCCCGCCCTGCCCGGTGGCCCAGGAGCCCCTCCTGACATGGGCACAGCTCACTTTGCCCAGAGGGGAAACTCTTCCCCGAAGAGGGTTTTCATCCCAGCTGTAGTCAGCCACCTGTTTTCCACCCAGCAAGCAGAAGGCACAGAGAGCAGGAGTCTAGGGGTGCACACAAGCTCTTCCCTAGAGAGCTCTTTATTAGAAATTCACAATTTAGGACAAAGTGTCCAAAACTCAGTAACCAGGACCCCCTTTGCTCTGCCCACAGCCCCTTGTTTGCATCAACCAATCTGTTTCACTGCTTGCTGCAGGTGCCCCACCTTGCAGCCAGGGTCATGCTGAAGCCCAGTAGAAGGGGAGAGGTGGCTGCAGCATTGTGGAACAGGAAGCTGAGCATGACTTCTCCCCCTATTACTCATACGGACTGATGCTAACTGACCCACCACTACACCACCTTGAAAAGGAAGTGCCCCACACGCAGCAGGCTCTCAGAGAACAAATGATGAATTGGGAAGATAGAACAGCTTTGCCTTGCACCCATATCCCTACCGCCAACCTACCGGAATAGGAAAACAAAGGATGAGCAATGCTAAACTGAAATATGCAGCCATCCCTGCATAGCACCTTGTGTGGTTCTAATCCCACGGTACCGCTATAGCACAGCAAGGTAATTTAGCACCTTCAAAACATCCACAGCAGACACAATCCTACTGCCTCAGCCCCAAGGCAGCTAGTTGTAATCACTCTGCAGTCCCTTCACATTATGTATTAATACACAGTCAGTGTAGGGACAGGCCAGGAACCTCAGAAAGCCATGGTAGTGCAGTCTCCTTTGCCACCACAATCCCCGCTGTCCTCTCTGGAGCCATCCAACTGCAGCACAGAGCAGCCAGTTCAGGACTTAGTCATGGCAGGTTTCAGCACCTGACTGAAGGTTCTGTGTACAATAGAGCTGTTTGCAAAAGCTTCCTCCTCTCTTTATAACAGTGTCTTGGCATGAAGAAAATACTGGTTCTGGTTAAAGAGATGAGGATTCCAGCCTCCTTGGAAAGGGGACCACAGCTCATTGTAGGGGACAAGTCTTGGGATAGGAGGAAATCCACAGGAAGAGACAGACAGACTTCACCCCTCCTGTCAAGAGTTCAAATGCCATTTGGAGGAAGGCAGGTCCAGACTTCCTGTGGACTGTCAGGGCACTCTGAAGGAATCCATGCAGGGTTAATACTCTACCCTTTATTTCCAGGGAAGACAGTCCAATGATTAGGGTACTAGCCTGAGACTGGATTTAAATTCCTGCTCTACTAGAGACTCGGTGCAGACCCTGAGGCAAGTAGTCTCTGGACCTCAGGACAAGAATATCCCTATCTACCTCCCAGCAGAGCTGAGATAAATGTGTTGCACAGTGAGAGGCACTCGGATACTACAGTAATGGAGCATGTACGCACCACAGACTGAGTGTGAGTGAAACCGCATAAACCAATAGGAGGACATCCCACCACACTGGCGGGAGAGAATGGTGGAGGCGTGACAGTCCAACCAGCTGCAGAGCTGGGGGAAGGAGGACATGATTGGCCCAGGCTGCTGAATCTCAGAGAGCTGCCTCTGTGAAGAGAGGGCTGTTAGCTCGTGCTGGGTGCTCTCTTTATACCAGTTTCTTGGCTTCAAAGAAACTCTTGAGGTGCCTCATCTGCCATACGCCAATGGCAACAAGGATGAGGGTCTGGACAATGGACCACCAGAGAACCCGCTGGTTGGTGCTCTCACTGGTCTGCCGGAACCGCTCCTCTCGCCACTGCAGCAAGGAAAACAAGACCAGATCAGACAAGGAATACCGACTGAGCTTCCTGGGCCCCAGAGATCAGGGGTTTCCCATGGTCCTCGTGTCTCAGAAATCTAGTAATCATCCTCCAGCTGGGTGACCTCCCCAACCCACAAGCGAGGGATGTGAACAGGTAACCAGCTGGCTGATTACCCTTAATGGGTGATGCTTGCCGGGTAATTACCGACTGAGCTTCCTGGGCCCCAGAGATCAGGGGTTTCCCATGGTCCTCGTGTCTCAGAAATCTAGTAATCATCCTCCAGCTGGGTGACCTCCCCAACCCACAAGCGAGGGATGTGAACAGGTAACCAGCTGGCTGATTACCCTTAATGGGTGATGCTTGCCGGGTAATGGTTGACCAGTTCCTGGGAGCAGCTCCCCGCTTGTGGCCTGCCACATGCCGAAGGCTGCTCCAGCCCCATGCAAGGCAAGGGGGATGGTAGCCGGCAGCCTTGCCATGGAAGCAGGGAGATGATGGTGGCAGCAGTAGCAGCTGGCAACCTAACGCACAGAGGGGCCTCCCCCCGTTGGCAGCAGGAGCCGCCGGGTAATGGTTGACCAGTTCCTGGGAGCAGCTCCCCGCTTGTGGCCTGCCACATGCCGAAGGCTGCTCCAGCCCCATGCAAGGCAAGGGGGATGGTAGCCGGCAGCCTTGCCATGGAAGCAGGGAGATGATGGTGGCAGCAGTAGCAGCTGGCAACCTAACGCACAGAGGGGCCTCCCCCCGTTGGCAGCAGGAGCCAGCAGACTCTCACATGTGGGAAGGAGGGAGCGAGAAGGAGCCTACAGCCTCATGTGTGCTGTGCGGTCCTGTGGCAGAAGACAGCAGCCTCACCACAATGTGTGGGAGGGCATGGCAGCAGCAGCTGGGGGTGGGGGCAGGCCAGGCTGGGACAGTTTCCAATAGGATCCTGTTGAATCAGTTAACTGGTTAAACATAACTAGTTAACTGACTAACCGGGATTTTACATCCCTACCACAAACACAGCCATGCCGCATCTCCAGTGAGAGCACAGGGGCGGCCACACTGCTCTAGGTGGCTCACCCGCTGGTAGTTCTGCTCCTTCTGTATTTGCTCCACCTGCTCGATAAGCTGCCGCACTCGGAGCTGCAGCTCACTCAGCTTGTCTTTGGCAGCAATCTCAGCATAGTCATTGGCATGTTCCCCGACCTGGATATCTAGGTGGACCCTCTGCAGCAAGACAAGACACCACCATCAGAGGTTCTACCGCAGTTCCATATGACCCCTCCCCCCGGTCCTGCATGGGCCCCCCTTACCAGCACACCCCCTGCAAAGAGAGAGAATCTGGTGGAGTTGGAATGCAGGCAGATCTGATGCTCTCCGGGAGTGTGTGAGGTGAAGGTGAATCTGCCCTCAGAGCCGTACTGCCTCGACAAGACAACCTGGAAGAGAAGGACAGGGCTGCAGTGCCCAGCTAAGCCAGGATTTGCATGCAGTACCTCCGTGGAGCGACAGCAGGGGCATGGAGCTCTCTGGCGGAACACTTGTTCCGACAGCTAGAGAGTCCGTATGGCCAAAAACTGCTCTGTGGTGAGATCTAGGTGGCAAGGAAGATTCACAGGCCCCTACAAATCCCCTGTGCTAGCTGCTCAGATGTCAGTCAGAGCATCGCAGAAGGCCAAGTGTGTGGGCCAAATCAGCATTTCAGTTAGTCGCTCTCCAGAGAGTCATTCTACTGAACTTTAGAGCCTGTTCATTAGCAATTTCTAAACAAGCTGGACTCCAAATAAATGCACGGGGAGGAAAGACTGGGAAGAGAGAGGAAGAGCTCTGTCTAGGCCTCATTGCACACGTCCAGGACCCGAGCATCAATACATCTCGGATTGAACCAGACTAGAAGTGACTGGCCACCATGTACCATGGGGATCAACAGTCACTGCCCTAATTAGAGCAGCTCCCTTTACAGGGAAGCAGTTAAAAGGAGCTTAGTTTTCTAATTTCTTAATTCAAACTGGAACTGACAGAACTATAGTCAACATCATGTTGCCAAGAACTTCCCAGAACCAGGCAGCAAGAGAAAAATGAGGCAGACCCACTTAAACCCAGAGTTTGCCCATGGCAGACTCACTAGTATCTGTGGTGACTTCATACCAGGAAGAGTTGTCTCATTTAAGATGCTACGTGGACAAAGCCTTAATGGTCTGTGGGGCACCAGAGTCAGCAGCAAACAGAGCAGCCCTCACTATGGGCCCTGGGTCTGGGTTGTTCAGTCTCACTGCTGCAGGTTTGGGGCCCCCACGGGATGGGTATGAGGGCAGAGCTAGCGCACCTAACCAAGGCTGAAAGAGGCACCCGTATCTTCTCCCCAAAACCAGGTACCTTATCATCAGGATCCTTCACTTCCACCAGCATGCCGAGCCCGGGTGTGGCAGGCATGTAATCCTCCCTCTGCTTATCATAGAGCTGGGTGCGGTAATTCCCTGCAGGAGGCAGCACCATAAGCCCCACCCTGCTCCTCATGCCCCCCCCCACCCCCCCAGGGCAGGGTGAGGAGGAGGAGGAGCTAGGTTAAAAGCTAGCTCCTCACTACACTGTCTGTGTGGGGAGGCAGGCAGAGGCACAGGGCAGGAAATGGCAGCAGGCACAAGCAGTCCCTGTTGCCCCTCTCCTGGAGAGGTACAAGAGCCCCAGGCCGCTCCTGCACACTTCAAAGGGAGAGGCGCAGCCGGATAGCGAGCCGATTAATCACAATGTCAAATCCTTACCCCAGCCCCAGACAATGCTTCAATTACCTACCCCAGGGAATCTGCAGCCTCCATCTGCTGCCCCCCTTGGCCTCTGCCTGTGTCCCCTGACTGCAGCCCACTCCCCTCCTGGCCTCAGTCCCACTAGCCGATTAATCACAATGTCAAATCCTTACCCCAGCCCCAGACAATGCTTCAATTACCTACCCCAGGGAATCTGCAGCCTCCATCTGCTGCCCCCCTTGGCCTCTGCCTGTGTCCCCTGACTGCAGCCCACTCCCCTCCTGGCCTCAGTCCCAC